CCACATCTTCCTAGGATGGTGCCTGCTTTCTTCTAAGATTTGATGAGAGAGAGAAAGAGGAGTAAAGGGCAAAGGTAACCAAGAGGTCAAGAAGAGACGCATTCCCTCAGATGCTGCTAACAAGGCACAGCACAGGAGTTTCACACGGCTTCAGAAACCCTTGTTCTCCACTGGTGAGCTCCGTCCAAGCCCGGGTTCACTGAGGTTACAGCAAAAGAAAAGGTTGCACTTTTGTTGATCAACGCTGCTAAGCAACAAGTCATAAAAACCAACATCACCCTTGTCTTCTGCTGGTTGCAATTAGAGAACTACAAACAGGATCACAGATTCAGGGCTGGGAGAAAACCTTTAGCAGCGAGTGTGCACTGCTCCCAGCCACACAGCTTGTGCAGCAACTTCTCATTAGACACACATTCCGCATCCCCAGCCATTGCAGCCTGCACAGGGCAGGTCAGCCCAGGCCTCTGAAGCTGTAGCAGCCTTTGGCTTCTCATAGGTTGTAATCTTTAGGTTGTAGTGGTCACTTTCAATTGAAGAAACAAAGCAGAAGTGTTGTCAGTCCCTGATTAACTTCATGAATATTTGAGTCATGTTAAAATGTGTATAACTAGAGCTTTTATAGGCTACTCTACCAGCGGAAGAGATGTAAGAGAATATAAAGACACAGTAACACAGAGCAGGAAATCACTTTGACACAGTATTTTAAGGAAAAATACAGGAATTTTATAATGCTTTCTGAAAGGTGAAGCTTTTAACTTGTTAGAAATAAACCATGTTTTACTCAAACTACAAGAACTTCTAATTATTCCCCACTTAGAGCACAATTGCAAACAAACCCACCCAGTGCCAAAGGACAAGTGTCACATGGTCCCATGCAACACACAAATCCAAAAGTTAGGAATGGGAGTTGAATTTATAGTTTTTGTAAGTCTCACACAGCAAACACTGCCAGTCACATCAGTTTCTGTGGTTTCACAGTGAATTATCCCAGATAATTCTTATGCTCCCACAGGAGGAAAAACAGAAAAACAGGCATTCTTCCTACTGCTCCATAATGTACCTTCTCCATATACTATCATGAATGTCAGCTCTTCTTTTCCTTCCTTGTTCATCAGCTGAACCATACCTCAGTATAACGAGAGGGAACAGAGTAAGTCTGTCATCCTTTCATTCTAAGTATGCACTCTAATTGTGAGTCTTTAATTCTGAAATTTTTATTCTCAGTTTACAAATGCTGGTAATGTTCCATTATGAGGTGGGTTACTTTTAAATAAACTGTAAGGAATATTATTGTGGAGTAGCTGAACTGGTTTTCAGAAGAAGAATCCTGTTGCTAGTCAGTCTGTGCACTGATGATTGTCCAGCTCTTCAGGGGAACACGCTAATGTTTCCTTAAATACACTCTCTATCAACTTTTGTTCAATCTCTCACCAAATTATAGATGTTTCAGAACAGTCCAGTAGGAATACTTACAGAAGCACTAAGCTCTATGAAAATGTTTTTCTCATTTTAACTCGTGGAGTATGTTACTTACGACTCTGCATCCAAGGGGGAGCAACAGAGCACTCTGAGAAAGGAAAATAAAGGGGAAATAAGGATGTTTGCACCAGTAGAGAGCAAGTCAGTAATTGAATCCTGCCAGTCAGTAATTGAATCTTCTTTCTTAAGAAAGAAAACTTTAGGAAGGGGAGTACATACAGTTTACAGAATCACTAGGCTGGAAGAGACCTTCAAGATCATCAAGCCCAACCCATGTCCTAACACCTCAACTAAACCATAACACCAAGTGCCACAACCAATCTTTTTAAAACAAGTTCTTTTGTATTATTTAGCTTTACTAAACTCCCATGCCACAAAATCTTGAATAGCCAACATATTGCAGATTTCACAAATAAGCAATATATGTGAGGAGAATATAAAGGCTGAAGCAGCATGCAGAACAGGAAGTAATGCATTTACAGAAGCCAAGGGCAGATTAGATAGCAAAGAAAAGTTTTTTATTACTTAAAGCAGGACATTACAACAGAACAGTAGTCAAGAAGGGGTCACTGGGTCCTGTCACTGAAAACAGAGAGATTAGATATGAAAGGAATAAGTCACACTAAGAGCATGAACTTGCTAAGAGCATTTTTTCAACCTTAAGTAACATGGCTGTAAATATACGTGGGGCTCAGAGTAAAGACTATTGAACTGCAACCCTTACACTCTCTGACCTGTTTCAGAGTCCTGGGTAAATCACTTGATCTCACCACTCTTGTTTTTTCCAGCTGTGAAACACCAGAAACATGTATTACACAGGGACCTGGGGAAAAGTTTAACACTTACAGACAACTGCAAGACTTTGTAGGAATCGACCTCGTGTATCTGAAGTTTACTCCTTACCTCCCATACTAATCTGTCTAGCACTTTGTCATACCTTCATCTAGCTATTGGCTTCTCATGAAGTTACATCATTTTCCCATACAATTCTGCAATAGTTGTGGGTTTAAGTGTTAACATGAGAGCAGCTTGACAGCTCTAGAAACTAAGAATATGTCAACATTGTACTCAACAGATTTGTTTACTATCTTTTTTCAGAAGCCTGTTTACTTGGGTAACAATATTTTAATGCATTTTAGCCAAGTTAATCCCACAGAGCTAAAAATGATGAACTGAAACGTTCCTCCCTATCTTGGGACATAGTGGATTGTTTACAGAGTTGCAGCTGACCAGTTCTGCAGTCCTTCTGAAGACAATGCACCTGCCCACCCCACGAGAACACAAACAAAACTGCAGAATTAACTGAACAGCAGTTGACTCCAAAACACATCACAGCAAAATTTTACAGGCTGTAAAACAAACTATTTCATTACCACATGGAAGGCCCAGTTCACAGTTTGCATAGGACAGCTTTTCATTTTGGTAGAGGAATCACTGGAAAAAGAAAACAGGGACCTTCATTTACTGTTTTATTTCCAAAGACTTCTTTCAATGTAAGGATATTTCTCCATCTACTGAAGCATGAGGCATAACTGAACACATAAAGAAGGCAAATCAGATTTTCATTTAATGCTCTGCTTTAAGAGGAAAATGCAGTTTGAAGAACCTGCTTAAGCCATTGCTAACTTCTGCTAAGAGCTCATTTGTAAATTAACAATACTATAAAAGAAGCAACAAAATGAGAAAGTAATGATAGCCCATGGCTTGAGTGGATCAACATATCTGCATCCAGAAAATAAATACTGAAGAAGCTTATGAAGAACATATTCTGCTTGAGCAGGTGCCATTTAAACAAAGCTGCAGGTTCTGTTTTACTTGCTTGGCAGCTCATGTATAACAGACAAGGAAAACAGCAGCCCCTGACAGGAGTAATGACCATAATAAGGGTTTGATTTAACAGATAAAACACAAATGAGGTCACCTCAAAAACTACCACCTGAAACAAAGGGACAATCAAAAAGTTGAAAACTCACCAGCTAAAATGCTGCAGCTCTCATTAATTAATTTCCTACCTGACTCTCATTTCTTTTACAAGGTACCATAAAATACAGTCAGCATTTAAAGCTGAAAGGACTCAAAGGACGCAAGACATTGCTTTTGGTTTGGGGCACTCTCTGTCATATTCAACAGAGCTTGTTTAAATAAAAAAGAAACTGTAAGCACTGCATTTCTCTCACAATTCAGCATGGCCATAACGAAGTCACTGTGCTTCTGCCACTCCAAACATTCCTTCAGCTGCTTCTTTGTGACTGACTGCAGCAATCCCAAAGGAGTGATTAACAAACAGGAATAAGTGGCCAGAGCTCAGAAGTTCTGACAATTTAGGTGGTGGAAACCACTAACACCAGCTACCCCAGCGCAAACTTTCTTACCAAAGAAATGCTTCAGCTGTTTGGCCCCCAAAATACCACAATTCCCTTCCTGCATTTCACTGCAAACGGTGCCTAGCGGGTAAAAGTTGGGAACACGATATAACAACTGGAACAAGGGGAAAGAAGAGAAAAAATTATTTTGAGAGGAAAAAACCCAAACAAAAATAAACATCACGAAGCTAAAAAGAGGATTTAAGTAATCAAATTCACTGCTATACTGGAATTGGGTTGCCAGAAGCCAAACTGGCGAAATTGAGCTAAAGTCACTATATCCTTTATGTACATGTCCAGAAAATCAAAACTTCCAAGATATTTCTTTAAAAATTAATTTAGCTAAACATCAACAGGCTCACAAATTCTCTTTCAGATGTCCAAATTCTGTTCAGATCTTCAGATTCTCTGTCAGATGTCCAAAAATCAGCACTTTTCCACTTTATCCTAAACATTTAGTGGGTATCAGATGAGCTCTGCTTTCTAGATCATGGATCAGGAAAATGTTTCCTCCAGATTTTTCTCAAGGAAAAATAAAAGTGCTTTTGGTTGGAAACAGTCCTGTCTTCTGCAAAAGATAAAGAAAAAATACCAAACACAACTGGCCATTTTTTTTAAATCCAAAAAATAAGTCAGATAAGAAAACCACTAAATATTTTTAGAGAAAATTATTCTAGTATAAAGACATTTGCTATTAAAACATCACGGGTAACATTTGTTCCATCTGATGTCTGCATGTAAAAAAAAGACTAACTACATTTTGCTTTTTAATAAAACATCTGTTTTAAAACCAGGATGGTTAAAATTCCCTTCTCCTACTGTACAGCATGTAATAACTAACTGCAGCTTCCAAAGAGGGACCAAGCACCACTATGTTCTATTTATATGCATACAATTTATTTAAAACTAAGGCTGTGGTCTGGTGCTGTCAGGCAGTCCAATGTTCTTGCTGTCACTCAAGGTGAGGAAAGAAAATGCAATCCATTCTGCCAACAGCTGCTGCTACATTAGAATGGAAAGCTGCAGTGTCAACTGCTCTGAGATGACCCCACAACCAGAATCAAACCCTACACCACCCACAAACCTCACTCTCCTGCCCTCCCAAACCTAATCATTTTACATGGACATCCAGTTTTTATTAACAGATCTATCAAATAAAAGATTTGGAAATTTATTTTTTCCAACAGAGTATGAAGTAACCTCTTAGTGAGTGATGAACTTTGTCACGATCGCTGCATATACAGAATCCAACAGAATCCTTTTGCAGAGTACTGGATTCTATTCATGTCTGCTGCAGTAAAACAACTGAATTCACACACAGAAAAAGTGTATTTAATGTTCATGTTTACATAAAGCACTTATCAAGAACAGAGTAGAAAACAATGCTTAGAGACCATCTTTGAATGCCTTCAGCAGCAGGTCTGCTGCCAGCCCAGGAGACAAGACTCCTTTAAGAACCTTTTCTTCCAGAAGTGGGATCTTATCCTTGACTGCCAAGTGACTCCGGAAATGCTCCAGCATGTTTTCCTGGATGAGATTCCACATCCACACTTTCTGCTGTTTCCGTCGTTTGGCAACCAGCTCGCCACTTGTGAGCATGAGCTCACGGAACTCGGTCATTTTATCCCACATATCCGAGATCCCCTCCCCAGTTTTGGCAGAGATGCGCATTACCTGTTGGATTCAGAGGAACTGTTAAAGCCCTGTAAGCTGCTGGCCTTGAGGCTTCAATTACTGGACCAGGTAGATTGCATGGAAATTAAGAAATGTGTGAGGGAAGCTTCCTTCAATACTCACTTCATGAGGCTCTAAGCATTTCTGTGCCTTCCCCCCCAAGCCCATTCCCCCCGCCCCCGCAAATTTGGGATTCTACTAACTAGAAGTAGACCCTGAGATCCATACTATTTGGGATATTTGTCCAATTGCTTGTTATGAGAATCATTTTTAGTAAGTCCTTCAGCTAAAAGGTACATTATTGCTCTTTTACTTAAATTTCGAGTTAAGTGCATATTCTGGTAGCTATTCTTTTGCACTTAAAATATGCCAGAAGTGAAGTATTTTGACCAATTTTTTTGCCTTTGTTTCCCAGACCAGGAATTAATTTTGCCAATAATATTTCAGACATGCAGCACAGTCTTTCAAATTGAACAGCCTGTTTCTTTTAAAAAAAGCTCCTCTCCTTTTCCACACTTACAAAACAAAGGCTAATCCTCAGGCAGCCCAGCTGATTTAAACTCAGCTTAATGGGCCAATTTCAATACCAGGGTAGAACAAACCTCCTTTACAGATAGTTTATTTATAAAGGAAGTGAGAATGTGTGTGTGCTTGTTTTATAAACACATATTAAAAAATAGTACTGAATCTTCTTAAAAATTCACCAAAACTTTCCAGTAGATAAAATACAGCATTAAAGCTGAAGATCCACAGGATGAGAATTCAAATTATCTAGCAATTTTCATCATGTGAGAAACTAAAAAAAAAAAATTAAAGCAATAAAGGAAACACGTGAACTGGTGAAAGACCAATGATAATCACAGGCTTCACAGTTATAGTGGAGGGAGAAGCAGATTAAAAGGACATTTTTAGACATGCACAATCTACAGAAAGCAAGTAAAGTTTGCAGCACCCCTGATGTCAGTAATAGCTCTGCTAGGGCAGAGATTGTAGCTCAGGGCAGAAGGACTGGCTTTGCAGTGTTTGATGTGGCACCTTGAGATCAGAGGTGAAGCACAGACAGTAGCAAACACCTCTCCAGCACATTGAGACTAAACAACCAACTGCAATTTTTAAAAAGAGCCTAGGGAGACTAGGACAGCTAGATGAGAAGATACCAATCTTAATGCATCAGCAAATTTTCTGGGGGGGAAAAATACAAAAACAAAAACCCAAAACAAATCACCAAACCCAAACAAAACCAAACCAGACCCAAGGAGCCCCACAAAAGACAGGGAAGTCTACAAACCTTTGGCCTCCAAACCTTTGAACGCTTGCGAAGCAGCTTCATAGCACTGACATACTCGGCCTGGATTCTCCGGGCAGGCACAACTAAGTCCCCATCAGCCTTATTGATAGCAACCAGATCTGCCATCTCAATGATGCCCCGTTTGATGCCCTAAATGCAACAGGGACAGAATCAGGAGTACCCAGAGGGGCTGTGACACACTGATTCATCACAAAAAGAAGGTCAAGATGGTTTGGTAGTTTCTAGTTTCCTCCCCAAAAATATATATAAATAGTAAACACGTCAAAGTTAAGCCACAGAGGATCAAAAGTTTCCATCCTAAAAAGGGATCTTAACTGTGCTTGTAAGTAATGTGGATGACACTGAAAATACCTAATAACAGTATAATGGACAAAACACTATTGATATGGACTTTCTGCACAGATACTACATGCAGAATTTAAGTTTCTCTTCCTAGTCCCGGGTAGTAACCAATAAGAGAAACTGAAAAATACCTGTAATTCATCTCCACCTGCAGGTGGTAGCAGTAATATAAACATATCAACCATATCAGCCACAGCAAATTCTGACTGGCCCACACCTAAAGAATTAAATTCAGAATTGACCATTTACTACAAACTTTCAGTCACATAATTATGACAGATCCCAGCATTGCCCCACAAACAAATCCCACTAACAGAACAAAGACAATAGGAAACACAACAGTTTAGTAAAAGATATAGAGGACTAGAAAATATGACAGAATGAGCATTCGTGTTTAACCAGTGACCATGAAGGAAAACATGGGCAAAATCAAGGCAAGAAGTATGCCATTATTAGCACATCTTATTTTCATACCACAACAGGACAGTCAAAGCAATCCCTACACACATACCTACTGTTTCCACGAGAACAACGTCATAGCCTCCTCCTTCACAGAGCAGAATGGCTTCATTTGTGGTCCTTGTGACACCTCCCAGTGTCCCACTGGTTGGAGATGGCCTGATGTATGCATTCATGTCTCTTGACAACTCAGTCATCCGTGTTTTATCACCCAGCAGGGAACCTTAATGTTAAATTATTTCAAAAGTTCCACACAGCCAAACTCGCCCTTCTCCCCTCACCCCACCAATAAATGAGTGAGTAAAGACACATCTTTTGTTCAAAGTCAAATAAGAATATCCTAGTCATAGTTGCTCAAGACTTAGCTGAAAGCTACTGCCTGGTTCTTCTACTTCTCAGAAGCTGGAAAGGCCTGACTGTTACCAAATACAAAGAATTTGTGCTAGGTCAGAATGAGTTCTACAATTTCTGAATGGCTTTTTGAAGAAGCCTATACACATCAGGCCATGCAGATGATTCTACCTTGTACCTGTCCAAGGGGACAAATCTCTGCATTATGATTCTGACGTGCCTTGATGCTGAATGTTTCATTTTAAGAGAGCTGACACTCTGCCTTCCCTTCTACTCAAACAAATTGTAATTCAGATTCCGTGAGATCTACACACTCGATGCACACTCCAAAAGATGAGAGATGTTCAATTCTTCCAAATGGTGCAGTCCTGCTGTCACATTTTGCTATTCTACTGATGCATCCTGAAGGCATGCATTCAAGAACACAGTCTGTCTTAGCTCCACGTCATTGCAATGCTCTAGTTATTTCTTTATAAATAGTTACACACCTCTAACAGCACAGAAGCTGGAAGAATTAATGATGCTGCCTGGCAGCTGCCCTTTACAAAAAGATGAAAATCAAGATTGTATTATTTGTATCAGAGATACCACAAATCAGGCATGGTCAGCTTATAATTTCCCTACAATTTTTTATTGGAGAGTAACAGATCACAGCCTGTCATCAGTAATCCTGCACAACTTCCAAAAAATTCAAATTTAGGAAAAAAAACTGTAAGGCAACATTTGAGCACTGGAAAAGAGGAAATCTGAAAGAATTACAACACTGATTCCTATTTCCCAATTCTGTATCACATAGGAAAAAAATATGAAAACTTGATTTATTTTATATTTTACTGTTATAGGCACCAAATTTTCTTCCACTTGGCCTGAAGACATACTTCTGCAGTTAACAAGGTATTAGAAACTTGACTCAAACTTTAATTCACACTCACCACCACTTGTACTAGAGGAAGGGTCTACAGCCAACACAGACACTTTGTGTTTTCTTTCCGTAAGCATTTTCCCAAAGCATTCTATGAAGGTCGATTTTCCAGCACCAGGAGGCCCAGACAACCCTAAATAATCACATTAGGAAGAAAAAATATTTTGTTAGTCAAATAAATAATACATCTCATGTATCAACATCTAAGTTGATAACAATTCATACTTTAACACAACATCACAACAGAAGCAAATAAAAGCTATGCCAAAACAAAACAGGAGTTTGGCAACACAGCAGCACTTCACCACCCCTCATCCTACTGACACCAACATAATATTGAGTTTATCCTCTCCAAAAAAATCACTTATACTGTATGACTTACCCTTCAGAACTTTCAAAATCTTATATATTAGAACTGCATTTTTCAGATTTACTGTAAAACACTACAAAAGGAAAAGCAAGCCCTTACCTTGAAGAGCTGTTCTTTCAAAAAAATGAGGCCATTTATTTGCATGTCAAAGCTCATAAACTAAGATTAGCACCAAACTTTTCTCACTCCTATGCCCCAGTTCTTGCTCTTACTACCGTTGTACAGACAGGAGAGATGACAGCCGGGCATAACACATGTTAGCAGTCCATCTCTTTGTAAGGGAAAAACATTTTACAGCTTCCAAGAGATGCAGGTTCAAGTCTCCTTCAGCTGAAAAGTAGGCTGCTTAACAGAGGGCCATAAAACAGGAAGGTGCATGTTTTCCCCTCTGTAGACTAAAAAAAGGGATTCAGAAAGTGTTCAAAAAAAAAAAACTCTGGGAAAAGACTAGGTGTGCTTGACTACATCTTTCCCTAAGTGTAGATAACACCTGCATCAATCTGCAAATTAACTAATGTTTCACCTTATAATGGTTACAAAACCCACCCTGAATAATACACTCCCGAAAAGCAATGATAATTTTTAAAGCATTTTCATCTCAAGCCATGATAATTTTTAAAGCATTTTCATCTCAAGCCATAATTCCACTGGAAAACAGAAGTAATCTAGATTGGTTATAAAACACAAAAAGATAAAAATCCAAGAATACAGACCACAAATAACAGTGATAATAAACAGTGAGGACAGTAATTACATGTAAGCAATACTAGACAAAGCATAAAAGGACTAACCCACTCTAAAGGCAAGTGGCTTTCCTTGATTTAACTTTTCTTGTTCCCTGTGGTAGGATAATACCTTCTGAAGGAGCACCTGGGCTACTTTCTTCTTCCTACTCTGAGTTGATTCTACAAGTGTAATGGCTTCAGCTAAACAGGCTCTATGACCCTGGATCAGCCCATGGTAAAGCCTGTCTACAAGTCTCTGCTCCTGGTCAGAAAGTCCCTCTACTTGCTGCTCAGGGGCTGCTTGCTGGCACAGCTCTCTCCTCAAAGCATTTGATGAACAAATCCATTTTGTCTGACAGTGATGTGCTGGCCCAAGAGATTCAATGCCCAGGAAATCTGCTCGGGAAGTGAAGCAAAAGCTCATGAAGTAAGTTCTTCTGGAGAAATAACAACGAGGGAATCTCAGCAGCAAAGAGGGGATCTTCATCTTGTTTGGAATTAAAAAGTACCAGAGTTGTCAGTTCTCTTCTGTTTGCACACACCCTAAAGAGAAGGAAAAAAATCTTTACTTTCTTCAAAGTACTTGTGAGGACTTCAAATTTATGTACACCTGTGATTGTCAGCTTTTATTTGATCTGTACCTGCTGCCTTGAATAAAAATATGACTGTCCACTTTTCCCATTAAAGACACAATAAAAAACAAGCTATAGAATCAAAAGCACAGCATCTCTTTATTATCATACTTCATAAATGAAAATATAAGCAAGTACTTTCAAATAGCCTCTAAGAGCACACGCAGTACTAGTCCAGGAACAATCAATCCTTACGCTTACGGAAATGGCGGTATATTCTAGTTTGACGGGATATTTTTAGGGCTGTTTTTAACAATTATTCGGAACTAGAGCATATTTGCAGTTGTGAGAGAGATGAAAAGAAAAAACGGGGGCTGGGCAGGGAGTTCAGACACAAGAACACTGAGAAATAAACAGGAGGAGCTGAAGCCTCCCTGAGGCCCCCGAGCGGCCCCAGCCCCGCTCCCGCTCCGCCGCCTCAGCCCGGGGCGGCCGCTGAGGGGATGAGGGCACGGGAAAAGCCGCCGCTCCCAGCCATTCCCGGCCGCTGCCCGCCATTCCCGGCACCTACCGGAGCCGCCCCACTCCGCCCCGGGAAGTGACGCCCTCGGGCTGAGCCGGAACCCGCTGTCCCGCCGGGAAAAGGGCGAGCAGGGCCGGGAAAGGGGGGGGTGCTTCAGGGCGGGGAGCGGGCCCGGCAGCCCCCGGGCCCCAGAGCGAGAGGTCAAGGCCGCAAGGTTCGGGTCTGGCCATTCCACGAGTACGCAAACTTCCATGGCCATGGAGTCACTGTCTCCCTTGATATCCTCCCAGTGGAGGATATTTCAAACAATTTCTCTCCTAGTTTAGAAATACCCACTCTTGAATCCGTGCGTGGCGATTTATTAGGCCTCCCGCTTCGTTTCGCAGACCATGAAGGGGAGAAGAAATGCTCAGATCACCGCATGTACTTATTAAATCACGTTGACTTTCAGTCTTACTAAACCTCCTCTTTAAAGTTTCCTGTTGTGGAATGTTGATTTATTGTGAGGCGGGGTTTGTTTTGCTTCCTTATTTTTTATTTAACTATTACTCTTTCTCCAGTCATCACACCACCCTGTTTTCTGCCCATCTTCTTGTTAAAGCACACAGATCTATTTCCAATAAACGTAAATGCACATAATCCACTGGCTGAGCTGTTCCCAGTGCCTTGCACTGTCCTGCAAAGACTTTTTCAGTGTCATCACCATGGGCAGTGAAAATGAGAGACTATTAAATAGTAAAAGTTTTGTTCCGAACTGCCAAATGCACAATTTAATTTCACTGCTGTTACTCTGGTCCAGAAGATGATGATACACAGAGAACTGAACACTTCAGGGCTAAGAAAATACGCGATTTTGTGTCCCTAGCAGCATGGGATGAAACCACGGCAGAAAGAGACAAGAAGTTCCATTTCAAAATAGCCTTGTGAGGTCTTTCTGTTTAACCAAATCTTTATTCACCAGCGTTAGCATGGATCACTATAATCTCTTCATTAACAAGCTTTCTAAGGCTCTCTGTTTCAAGTGCTGGGCTTACATCTAGGTAATACATCCCCACTATTATTTTAATAAAAACAGAAACAAAAGCAACAAAAAAATTCTACTATTACTTAATTGATCCTTCAATTTATGCCCCTTTGTGTTCTCCAAAATTGAATACTTTTGTCAGTGACCTCGATGAACAGGCATGAAAAATTGCACATTTCATCAGTGCTGAAGAGGAGAGGGGATTGTTCAGTTCTCTATGATAACCTTGTGGACTGTAATAATAGGAGTGAGATTAGTGTGCACTCAGCAGTTGAGAACAAAACTGCTGCTCTTTTATACAGTCCATCAGCTGTACTGCCAATCTGAAATGGCCACAAACAGGCATGAATCTGCTTTAGAGTGTCTTCCTGCAAGAACTGTTTGCAAGACTTTGCACACTGATGAGTTCTGGAAATCTAAATTGCTCAAGTCATCCTCTTTTTTTGTTCCTCTTTCCCCCCCCAGATCTGTTATTTGAGAAGTTTGCTTTCCATCAGTCAGAGACTACAGTCTCCAAATGCCAGATATGAGAGGAAGACTTTTTATTTCCTTGCCAATTATATACACCTTTTCTTTCAATATTCTTTCATATACTGAAGATTACATAGGTCTCCTAGAACTATGTGCTCTTCTACCACTCTGATTTTCTTTTACTCTAACCTCATCCAAAACAGGCAAAATACTCCCTGAGAGGCTGCATCATATCTAGAGTTTTCTTAATCTACATCCTGCCGTACTATACAGTGTTCTTCTGTTTCTCCTATGGTCTTTTAATATATGCAACTAAAGAGGGGGATGTTTTGGTCGTTACTACACCCAGTAAATTTTGGTCAGACTCACTGTATGTATTTGTGCTTTCTCATCTCCAGCATACAGATTTCTCTTTGCTTCTGTATTCTTTATCCATTCATCATTAATTTACTTAACATTGTTGCTGAGCTAATCAGGAGGGTAATTCAGTAGTGTTCCACATCAGCCTCTGTTTCTCCTTTATCTTAAGAATTATCTTGGAGTGGAGGGAGTGTGTTTGTGGATTTGGGGGAGGTTAATTTCAAATTTAACTCATATTCTGTGTTCTCTTTGCTTCTTTTCCCCAGGGGCGTCAGAAGAACAAAAATGTGCGCCCCGTAGTTACTCCATCACAGTCTGCAAACTTGTCAAAGATTTAAGAAAATTATCTGTTTTAACCTCCTTGCTGCGAATTTATCCCAGTGTTAAATAAAAGGATACTGCTGGTAACTCATGAAATAGCAGTCTTCCTTCTGAGCCAATACTAAATCAACCATCCTGTAAAGTGTTATAAATATTGTGCCACAACCTAGAGGTGCAGGGAGGCACTGACATTCAGGGAAAATGTGCAACCAAACCCGGATCATTACAAAAGAATAGAAAAAGACCCTTCTGCAACTTCTCACAGCAGGAATGCTATTAACATTAAAATCTCCAAAATTCAACTATGCAAATTTACGTTCCTTCTAACTGGTTTGCACTTGCAGTTTTAGTTGGATTAGTTAATTCTTTCTTTCTTTCTCTGGCCACACTGATTTCCTTGCTCTCTTCAGCCCCTCTTTAAAAAACCCCAAAGTAATGTTTGTGCACGTATATAATACAATGATATTTAATATAGAAATGCACCAATAAAACATTTTCTTTACAGAAAAGGCCAATACAAAATCACAGTCCCTGCCATGGTACAAACAGTGGTGACCAAATGACCATTTGCCCTTTATTTCAGAAGGCACCCCTCAATTCATTTCAGTTTTCACAGAAACAGAGTAGTTTGATCCAACCTTCTCTTTACAGCAAAACACAAAGTAAGGTAACTGCTGATTACAGCCTTCCTTTCAAGAAGAAAGGCTAAGCCTTTCAAGTCCTTAGCACTCTTAGACAAAATATACCTCCTGCCTTATCTTAAAAGCTAAGTGGACACCTGAAACAAAATCACTAGAAAGCATATTCACAGCTGAAAGTTTGCCTGTTGAAATGCAACTTGAGCCCAGGCCTCAGATCTGCAAACACAACTCAGGCAAGGAAATGCCAGAAAAAAAAGTTAATCTCCCCAAAAGCTCTGCAACTGCTACATCAAGAGGCGATGGCTGATTGGAGCATCCCAAGGTTTTCCTACAAAGGCCAGGACAGGATAGCAGGACAGTTGCCTGGTTAGCAGTGGACAAAACAGCCTTTCCACAGCTTCCCAGGGTCAGCCACCTACACAGAGGGGACAACTCCCCAGCTGAGCAGATTCTCTGTACCTGTGCTGCTGAGGAGCCACAAGGTTGTCAGGGCTGCTGGAGCTTAAAAGCCTGGAAAAAATAGATTTGTTCTTGGAGCTTTGGCTGAGACCTGTAAGAGAGCATCTGAAGAAAGCAGAAGGAAAAATTATCTTAAATAACTATGGTTTATATTTGTGTAACATTTTTATAAACAAGGGAGCTGAAGTTTCTTCTACAAAACCTTACAGCAGTGACTTCAACGTTTACTTGTTGCTATGAACTGGGCAGCGATTGCACAGTAGTGAGATATCAGCCATTACAGGAAAGTTTTTACTGCTCATGCACCAGATTTTTAATTGTTAATGATGAGCTGCCTGATGTGAAATTATTTTTAAAGGGGACAGCCAAAACCATCTTTTTTATAAAAGCGACTATCTTTTCTGTAAAAAAAGGAAAGACATTTACTATATAGGCAAAACCCCCAAGCATTCATAACACTAGTACTTGTTGTAAAAGCCAGTTAAATAATGTTCTCCGAGACTGATTCATTGTTAAAATTATAAACCTGAAAGAGCAAGTCACTTGCCAGTAAAATATTATTTCTTTTTCTTTCAATTAAAAAAGTATTTAAGGGCTTGGCTTAAAGAGTATGTTTTTCTTCATGGCCACCAATGACTCATGATATCAAAGTATTTCTCATGTAGTTCATTACTGCTCAGCTCAAAAGGAAATCATTAATTGCCTCCTGTTTTGTTTTTTTTCCAATACAGCAATGAAACCATAGCAAGCATGCTATATTTTTATATATGCTAGCAAGCAAGCATATATTTTTTTAAACATAAAAAATATAATACAATCTGACACCTGACTTTGCTGAGACACCCTCATTCCCAGCTACTTTTTGCTTAAGGAAAGGCCTGATTGACTGCAGATTTTAAGTTCTGTAGTAAAACTCAATTCCTCATCAGAGGACCGAGACTTAAAAGTGATTAAATATAACCCTCCTTCCCTCCAGCCCAGGGTGCTAAAGGTTTAAGTCAGTTTGAAATGAGCACAGTCTTATACACCAAAAAGTGACTACTGTGGTTCACAAGGTGAAGCATCCATTGGGGCAAGGAATCAATGATGAATGCGTAAGTCAGTTTACCATTGAAGACAATTTGAACACAGAGTGATAGCATAAATCTCTCATACATTCAGGTGTTTTTCCCTGCATCTTCAACAGCACTGGTGGTCAGAGATCTTTGTCCCACCCTGAGTGCCTCACTAGCACATGAAAACCACAATTGGTAGAAGTGAGATAGTGGGGAGAATTATCCATAGGAACGTAACATTACAGCAAAACAAATCTCAAAACATTTCTCTTCCAAGATGACACAGCCAAGATGAGGAGGAAGACCAAGGCCACAGTAAATCTGACAGGCAGGATTCAAGACTGAGATGTAGGAAAACCTAAGTGTTTCCAGTTGGGACCAAACCTGTGGTGTGAACAGGGAAGGCTGTTTCTGGCAGGCTGCCCAAGCCCCTTAAAACACGAGGTACTGTTTATCATGCTGGAAGTCTCTGCTGTGTAGGTATTTGCTTGCTTACTCTCCAACATGCCCACAAAAGCAAGACTTTGGTCATACAACCCAAAATTGTGTGTGAGCTAAATGTCCCGTTTT